GAATTTAAAATAATGGCCAAATGCGTCTTAAAACATGTAAGTGAATGTTATAGGTGTATGCATGATTACGTTTAACAAAAATAACATAAATTTAATACGTTTTTAACATGGAGTTCTGCGTGAAACCCCGAGCGAGTGGTGCACGCCTATTTTCGTGCCCAAAACGAGATCGTCCGTCCAAAAGTGATTTCCGGTATTTGCCGAAAAGTGATCATCCATATTTAAACTGCTGTAAATGACTTGTTGACCATTAATATGTGAAAGAACGTAGAAGCTGCAATCACTTTCTGGCAAAGTTATCCTACATTCAATCAGTTAAAAAGTGTCACGGACATTAAAAACGTCTTCTTTTAGAGGTATATGGCCATATCGTATATGAAAACTACAACAAATATAACAACAGTTCAATAAAGATATTTTAAGAGGCCAAAAAGGTCTGAATTGGTTACGAAGTAGGTACAGTAAAGCAATAAAAAAATAAGAGTCATAAAGATACTCTTTGTTTTACATGTTACCCCTTTGTAAATCCTGCTGACTATAGTCTATTTACAAATACAATCACCAACACCTGAAATCACAAATTGAAGCAGTGCTGTCTTCACTTTAGTGATTAAGACTGTGCGATATTCACAGTAAACAGCTGGAGACTTAATTTTCTGGGAAAGGTAGAAAGGCTGCTGCCTATTTGCTAAATGAAAAATTAAAAAAGCAGGGGAGTAAACCAAAAGCAAAACACTGAAGGGGTGGAAACAGCTAAGTACAATATTCATGGGTCGCCAGACAGAACTGGACTTTTACTTTTAGCTGTCATTTTAAACTGGACCTCATGAAACATATTAGGCTTGATTTAACTTTCTGTTTCAATAATAATTCCTATAACTGCCTTCTTTATTGGTTGAGCTTGAAAATACAGTTTGCACAACAATAATTTTCTGAGTGGATGATGTGGGGAAACATAATGGCATAATATAATGTGGTCTGATATTTACAGAGGTTTTACTACCCATTAATCTCCTGTTAAACTTTTGTCTGAAGCCTGCAGCAGCAGCTGTCCGGTGTTGGAGTGCTGGTTTGTGCAGGAGAAGGCGGGACGAGGAGGAGGTTTAACTGGAGCTACGACCCAAGAAAAATCTCTGCTTCACATCAGAACCGAAGCAGACGGCCAGAATGACGAGTCCCAGCGCGCTCCTAAAGACATCAACCCTGAAAGAGTCTACTCTGTGATCGGTAATGAGTAAAATACAATCCAGTTTAGTTAAATAAGTTCTGCAGCTCGATAAAAGTCTTATTTTATCAGAGTTTACGTCCACCTTTTCTTCTCCTCTCTCTTATCTGGATGCATTTACATCTGATTGAGTCCCAGTATGTCTGAACCATGGCTAGCAGATTTTACCGCTGCTAAAGCCTGAGGCAGATACTTAACGTCCAGCATGACAATAAAATTGGCTCAGTTAACGGAAAGACGTCTATTAGGCATAAAAATGACTGAAAACCATAATTATTTACATGAGAACATTTTAGATGATCTGTTGAAAATAAATGAAATGGTTCGGCCGAAACAGTCAAACTAACATTTCATCATCTATGATGGCTCCATTCCTTCGCTGTAGCGTCATTTTGATAAGTCACAGCAAAAATCCCACTGATGGGAAAAACAGTCATTCAGTAATAGTCGGGTGATCAACTGACCTCATTCGTGAACACACAGGGTCGCCAAACCTCCAGTACAGGGGAAGGCTCTCACCTGTTTCCTTAGTGAAGTCCAGGTGGTGACTTTCTTTGTCTGGCAGTGTGTAATAAACATATAGACCAAATGTTCTTCTATAAAACATCCCAGCTGCTCGTTTTAGTCACGAAAATGTCCTGGTGTTTAAAAGTTACTGCACATAAAGTGTGTATTTAGCACATTAGGTCTGGAAAACATGTACTTCCTAGGTTGTTAGTTTGACTCCATCATCATTTCTCTTTGAGAATATTATGTAAATATTATGATTACATAACAATTTAGATAATAAATCTAAACATGTATTCATAGCAGCTCTGCATGTTTCTATATTTTTCTTTTTGTATTTTTATGGATTCCATCATTGACCAAAGCATCTCTTTTTAAGATTTATTTGTTATGTATTTTCAAAATGTGTAGGTTTAAAGGCATATTTGTTTAGGGACAGGTATGTAACACAAACCACCCTCCACAACATTTACAGCATAAAATAATTTGCCATATCTGTCCCATGTGGGCCTCTGAATAAGTAATACTGAGCAACACGTACAAAAACTATCCAAAAAAATATAAAATGAAAAGCAAAAGAAGAAAATAAAATTAGGTAAAAATTGTAATTCCGCAAACTGTGTTACTATGTGGGTTAAATTATTCACTTAAAATTATTTATACACAGCTGTTCATCTTATTTTCTTTTTTTTATAAACAGATCGAGTGTCTCAGACATCTTATATGTTGTATAAGCGTGACCTTTGACTCCTGTTTCTCAGACCCGGCTGGCACCCTCTGCCACCGCTCGCTTAACCCTCCCAGAGGCTCTGTGACGAAGCCCCAGTGTGAGATCAACCCCTTCCTGCCGCAGCCCTCCAGCCTGGACTGGGTTTCCTCGCTCACAGAGTCTGGCCTCAGCCCCGTGTACCTGCAGGCTGAGTGGTTTTCATCTGCATTTCAGGGCCTCAACGAACAGCTGGGCATCTCTACTATCACCCGCACCCCCACAGGATCTAAAGAGCACAGTGGTAAAGATTTGATTTTAACCCAACACATTTATATCTGGGGGTTCACAGATCAAAAAATTGATTGGCCGACAATTATAAAAGTTTATTATCTCACGTGTGTCGGTCTGACTCTGTTTCTTCAGTGATCCTGAGCGTGACGACTAAAACGGTCTCAGTAAAGTCCAGACTCGGGGAGCCTGTGCAGCTGGACTGCGGCTTTTGGATCAACCCTTCCTCTCCTCTGTATGGGGCTGGATTCGCCGTCGAGTGGCGGTACCAGTTTAGAGGCCGCGGACGGCTGATTCTGGCTTACGATGGGAAGACTGACCGCCTCGCCGACACGCAGGAAGAAGGAGCCACGCTGGACTTTGAGGCTTTGCACGAGAAAGGAAATGCATCCTTGCTCCTGCAGGAGGCTAAAGTGCTTCACTCTGGGACGTACATCTGCACGGTGTATCTGCCACACCTGCTCGCTCAGGTGGCGCTGGACCTTGAGATTGAAGGTGAGGAAAATGTATTTCTGGAGCATTGTGCACGTGTTTGCATCACTGAAATAAGCAGATGTGTTTAAAATAAACACTCAGCTCTGTAAAAACTCCAGATTTAACTTTTAACTTCATCTTGTTTTTCTGCTCCTCTCTCCACCCAGAACCGCCATCCCTCTCCATCCACCCCTCCACCCTGCCCCTCGCTGTTCCAGGTCAGACTATAAACGTCCAGTGTGAAGCGTCTGGCTTTGCGCCCCTCCCCGTGGAGTTCAGCTGGGAGATTAAAGGTGCCGACGGGAAGTCCAAGACCCTGGATTCATTCAGCGTAACGGGCCACCGGCAGGCCTGGGACCGCACCTTCAGCCAGACCTCCCGGCTCGAGATCGACACCTCTAAGCTGGACCTGGGCAGAGGAGGCGAGCTCACCTGTGTGGCCGCCCACGCTGGAGGCACGAGACGGACCAGCGTGACCCTCAATGTCATCGGTAATGTGAAGCAAACCTGGAAGACACGCAAGCAAACAGCTCAGTTTATGTTGAGTTAAAGCAGTTTTTATACACCTGGAGAAGGTACTAATGGTGAAATAGAAAGAAGAAAGGTAGAAACTGATATAAGAAAAGATATTACCACTAACAAAATACTTTCCTTTAAATGCGGCTTATTAGGTTAGTATCACATATAAATGATTAAATATTTAAATAATCTTGAAACACGTTTACCTGGATAACTTTTGAGTTACCGTAGTTTGACACATTCTTAGATTTAAGTAAACAGTTTGAATCACCAGCTTCTGGATTTAAAACAGTTTGATTTTGTTAATCACAAAGTAACCATGTGGTACCATTTATGACCCACTGTGATGTTTTATTTCTAAAAAGATTTACTGCATCACAAACCTTCAGACTAACCTGAACTGTTGCATTTAAGTAATATTTAATGGCATTAGAACATTTTAGTATATCTGTTATAGATGAATGAAGCAGCACAGATATGATAAACACCATGAGAGCCATTAAAAATTGACTCCTGTTAGTACCTTAAATGACTCGGTTGGTGAAATAACTCTTAAAGGTTTAATATTGAAGTATATATAATACTGTGCAAACGTTTCAGGCAGC